GAGAGGTCACGAAATTTCATGACGTCATTAAATTCTGCTCAACTCGTGATCTCCGCCTTGTTTAAATTTCTTCCGGAGAAACAATGTTTAATTTCTAGCTTGTTAGTTGTCATCAGTCAGCCATATCCAATCCCAGGTGGTGATCCACCCGAGGCTCGAAGTCGGGATACGTTGATTAAAGTTCAACCCCCTTATCACTGAACCACGGACCCACTGTTCTATCGGCTTCGATCGGGAATATTAACATTGATGGACGGATGTTCACCGATTGGTTACGGGTTTCATTCGTCTCGCATTATACCTTATCAAAAAAGATTTGTCCCTCCATCTTGATAGTGACATCAAGGAAATGCTTGATGTAGCTCGGTCAGAAAAGTGCACAGTACGAAACCACATGCAAAATTGGATAGGGATCTCGACATTTTCCGAAAACAGGTGAAAAGTTCATCATAAATACTATTTGCTAACGGAGGTTCCGAAAAAAGGGAGGAGGCTGTTGTAAATGTAGCCAAAGCTGAGATGTCCCCGCATAATCACGCCTTTGTTTGAGTCCCTAAGGAAGAACACGACAAGAAGGGCGCAAAAGCAGAAGTCCCTTAGTTTAAGTAACACAACATACTTAAGGTAACAAACGCGTATAAGATATCTCCATCGGGCCAATCAGATACTGTTCTGGCGTGGGTGGTGACACGATTGGCTTGTGACTCAACGGCTGACTTTTTAGAGTCGTAGGCTGGCCGCAGCTTTAAATGTTAAATTATTGAATCAAATCTCGGACGGTTGGTAAGGTAGCCTTTTCCTTTAAATTGAGTGCCATCAAAGGTAACGTCAAATTCAAGCTCACTCGTGGGCCGGAGAAATCTTCCAGAAACATTCATTGCCTTTTTGTCCGATGTGATCATCGGAGGCCGTCCAATCATCTGCCAAGTGGGCCTGGTGATGGGGCTGGTGTCTGAGGTTGTGTCAAGCTGGAGGCGTACAGGTTTGCCATTGATAGTAACCGTAAAATACTTCCTCCGTGCTTCAAATTCAGGCTGAAACGCGGTTAGGATGGAGTGATACTTGAGACCGGAATAAGATGAAGGGCGTTTGGAACGCCTCTTCTTCCTGTCGCCTGCCTTTGCTTTGGGGGTTTGTTCTGCCGGGCAGTGATCTTCCTTATGCCCTTGTTTGTGGCATTTACGACAAACGTGCTTTTTGAAGGGACAGAAGCGAACAAAATGCCGATCACCGCACTGCCAACATACTAATGGTGGTTTTCTGAATGTGGAGTTTT